TTACATAAAATTCAACAATCAATGATGTTATTCTGCCAAAAATTTCCTTAAATTGGTCTATAGAAGTACCACATCATTTTTTTATCATCAATAATGAGAAAAAAAATTTCATGTCAAATTCTAATAAATCCTAATATTGACATGATTACAAAGGAAAAATCTATAGTATAATTTTTATCTCGTATTTCATTCACTCAAATATTTTCTGCAACCCACATGATTTTTTATTTATGTTTTATTTTTTGAAAGGAACCCTCACAAAATATTGTCATTTTGGAAGCATTAGTACTTACTGATTTGATACCGAACTTTATGTTTTTTTATGTTATTCGACAAATGAAAATAAATAAATTATGCAAATAAAATCGTAATGAGTTCTATATATATGTTTTATGAACTTTATCGTGCATATTTAATGAGTAATAAAATTAATTGACAATTTTTATATCGTTTTAGTGTTTAACCAAAAAATGACTAAATTTTCTTTACAATAAAATTTTATACTCTGTGAGTAGAGGTGTCAAGACGGACAGGCTAATCCGACTCGTGAAAATCGGCCCAGATCGACTCGGGATCGCGGGCCGACCCGTGACCCGAGCGGGCGGTTCAGGGTCAAGGAGGTGTGATTCGAGAGGTTCGCTGGTTGCACCTTCACGGATCGCGGTTAACCCGCTGGCCGTGAAAAAAAAAATTAATTTGAAATATATAATTTTTGAACAAATATATAAAAGTAAATAATTGAAATTGGGATATACAAATATTAAAATATATAACTTTTGAACAACTAAATTATTGTAAAGATTTAAGTAGGTGCAAACCTAGTTGGGATATACTTATGNCATTTAACAAAAAAAATATTTTTTGCTATAAATATGAAAAATTCTATATTTTTATAATTTTATTTATACAATAATACGTGCCAAATCAAAACAAATCACGACCCGTGCGACCCGTGACCAGCATGGGCTCGACCCGGATGGGTCAGCTGACGGGCCGAGTTGTAGTCCAAAATTTGTGGGCCGACCCATGCTTTTTTCATGAGGATCGTTACCGGACTCATATGTTGGCGGGCCGACCCGACCCGAACCACTCGGATTGACATCTCTATCCGTGAGATTGGAAACCCGATTGAATGAAGCTGTGGTCCTTTATATGTACGATTTCTAATTTCTTATTTATTTGTGATAAATAAGTCAAACTTCTAAACCTTATTGTGGATGAAAATTAATTTGGCAAAGCTCTTTCTTGTGGTTGGAAATTAATTTTATATGTGGCTAATACATATTCAGCTTATATTTGGATTTGAAGAAGGTACAAGCCTAATTTATAGATGTTTTAAATTAGACCTATCTACGATTTTTCACGTTTATTGGCAATATATCATTCAAATATTGACGTTTACCGTGTTTATTTTACCTATAATATTGTTACAAAATGCATTTATGTCTATAAATCGTATAAACAAGTAAATACGACTTGAATTTAATATCATGTCTCACTTCTATAATTCAAAAAGCAAAGGACATTCTTTTAATGATACCAGTATCTACCTTGATGGCTACTTTCAATCTACTCACATGCCCCCCCAACCCAACTAACTAAATGGGGAAAAATAACTCTTTTCACTTAAAATCTCTTGTTGGTGTACATTCATTGTTTCTATATCTAGATGTGCAAGATGTATCTGATTGAGAGCATCAGTACGGATATCAATACTGCGACTCACTCATTATGAATATCTAGATGTGCAAGATGTATCTATTAGGTATGATAATTTGAGTTCAGGTTCAAAAAATTATCATCCTAGTATCTAGCAAAAATAAAATATGCCTTCAAATACACATTTCAACACTTTTTTTTATTCATTATGAATATACCACCAAATAGAAATCAATATCTACTATGTGGGGCATTTCAAGAAGGGTTTGTGAGGGCGACAATGCATAAAGTGAAGTCGATGTGACTATAAATGAAAGTGATATGAATCAATTATTTAAATGAATCAATCTAATTGATTAGGGTATTTACTTCTTGGGCATTGCAAACTTACCATTTGTTGAGTAGGACATTTCGTGAGCGAATAAACTTTAAAAATTGAAAAACTTACAAAAAAGGATAAATTCAATTCCAAAGTTGAAAACCCACGATTTCGGTTCAAAAATACATAATTGCCCAGGTAATGAACTTTTTTCGATTCTCGATTTCGGTTCTTATTATTATTTTTTGAACCGATTAAAATATCCACCTCTAGAATCTATGGATGTGTGGAGAAGAAATTTCAAGGATAGCGTCGACCCAATTTGTTATAATGACTTAAATTTTATAGTTGAATTTAAAGTATTTGTTTCACGTAAAGTGGTGGTCTATAAGATAGAGGAAGATAGATTTTTAATATTTATAAACCTTGTGATCTTTCTTGATTTGAGGAGGATGGACGACTAGATTGTCGTTTGAAAGAATGTGACATGATACTATACTTCTGTTTATAGAGATTTATAAAATAAATGCGAGTAAAAACCAAACATGAGCTAGATACGAGTACGACCTTGACTTTACACAAAAATGAGGCAACTATTTAACCTTTGTCGCAGAAGTTTAGAAATATTGATTTCAACACAGATCGGGATGAAAACCGTCAAAACGGGAACATGGACACATGAATAATGATTTTGCGTAAAATTAATTCAAATTGATTTAGCTTTTGTGAAAAATTGAAATTGACATTTATTTTATAAATGAAGATTAACACAATTAATTAATTAGTTTCTTTTTGTTTATGGAATTTGAGCTCCATTTTTAACAAAAAAAATAAAATAAAATTGTAATTGTGATTTTTTTTTAAAGAATACATGATTAAAAAATAAAAAAAAATTTAATTTAAAAATGAATTTAAAGAAAAATATATTTTGAAATAATGGGGCTCATCGCCAAAAACAAAAAGAAAGTCCACGTTGTAACCATGAACCTCCGTACACCCGATAGAAATTTCTGGCGGAAAAAGACAAAAATAAGTGGCATAACTTTTTCAGCTTAAAAAACGCAATCAAACAAAAATTAACAGTCTAACACCATAACTGTAAATAGTTGAAATAACAAGGGCATTAGTTTACTGTGAAAGACAAAAAGGATGCCGACTCACAAAGATGCTCCTTCCCGATGGCAAATTTTTCAAAACTAAGGTCATGTTTGAAATGCTTAATTTTTCATGGAATTTGGAAAAAAATTTCCTTCTTCTTAGTTTAGGCTTGTTTGATAGTGATAATTTTCTAGGCTAGAATTTTTCCATGCTACTCTTCCACGCGCCTGTTTTCTGCCTTTTGAGTGAAAATGTTTTCCCATCTTTTTGGTGGGAAAACTGTTTTCCAAGTTTTTTTTAGTAGCAATGGAAACAAATTTTATAGTCAATTGTAAAAAAAAATTCATTTTAATGGACAATTTTCATGTAAAACAAAGTCAAACGAACCCTAAACTTTGATGAAAAAATGATTTTTTAGGGATTTTTTTTTTTACTTTTTGACAATGGAAACAAATTTTATAACCAATTGTGGAAAAAATTATCACTTTAATGGACAATTTTCATGTAAAACAAAGCTAAACGAACACAAAATTTTAAAATTTTTCGGGTGAAAAATTATACAAATCAAATACACTTAATTAACAATTCACTGCAAAACATTTTCTAGACAATTATTTTCCCTGAAATTCATTTTCTTTCCACCAATTTTCCACCATTTCAATCAAATGCACCCTAAGCATTTTTGTGTAGAATTTATTTTAAAATAATAGATTGATATAAAATGTATGGTTAAAAAGTAAAAAAAAAATTGAATTTATGTAAAATATTATTTTGTTGAAAAACATGTGATTGTAAAGAAGAGAGAAAAAAATATATTTTAAAAATAATGATAATCAAACAAGAGCTAAATAAGGACAACTTTAGCTGACTTTACAAATCATAGTAGTATAAGAAAAAGTAGTGGCTGAGGGTAATGATTAAAATTAGATTTTTAGTAGATTGTGATATAAATTTTTGAAATGTATAGTTAAAAAGTTGTGGGATCCATAAAAGATGTGATTAATATTGATGAGATCCGAACAGTGGCTAAAATCCAAATCCAAATTTAATTTTAATTTTAATCACATATTTTATGAGATTCATGACATTTCTATCATACGTTTCATAAATTTTATCAAAACCTACTAATTATTTGATTTTTTTTTTTTAATCAAAACCTACTAATTTTATCCATGACATTTCTATCATACGTTTCATAAATCATTTTTTTTTCTAAATAAAAAATAAAAAATGCTACCATATGTATTAAGACGACCCAATATCACTTATCACCTTAAGCACAAAAAGAAAAATCGAACATAAAAATAAATAAAATTTCACTGCGAGCATAAAATTTAGGGTCCTTGTGACATAATTTTTGAAAAGTCAAAATGAATTTTTGAAATTCAAATGCTGCTTTTGAATTTGGTTGACTAATTTTATAAAAATGATTTTTCTATTTATAAGATATTTTAGAAAAAAACTAATTTAATGTGACTTTCTCTGAATTTTTTTTCGAAATAGGACACAGTTTTCAAACAAAAGTTAACGTAACTTCTTTCAAAAACTATTTTATAAAAAGCAAAAATACATAAAAAAGCCATGCCAAATGATCCTTAATGTACTTGTCACTATTGTAACTTTCTCAATTGACACGAGTATCTATGGAAATTGGTTCATATTAGACAAAATATTGGGATCCTGAAAATGTGACCAGTTAAGAATAAACCGAAACTATAGGGGTCTATATGTAAATATGAGGAGAGCTGTATTTTATATTTCTATTTTGGGAGATGAGTAGATGATGATGGGGCGGCAGGCTGCGTAGTTACTACCTAAAATGGCGGTGCTGAGTCAACTCGCACGTGGTTGAGCGTTGAGTTTATTGTATTCCGCTGATCGGAGCGGGGTACTCCGGCGACCGACCTAAGAAGCAGAAAAGACGATGAACGGGAGAGGGCTGAGCGGAGTAGAGAGGGAGTACATAAGGCAGCACCATAATCATGAGGTCGAGGATAATCAGTGCAGTTCCTTTCTCATCAAGCACATAAAAGCCCCTGTGAATCTCGTAATGTTTTTCTCTGTTTAATTTCTTGAATACATGTATGTATAGATAGATATACGCGGCGTGCATGTCTGTATCTTGAGTATGCGCGAGCAAATGCTTGCGTGTGTATTTATTTGAGGATTTTTATTTAATGGATGTATTTTAATCGACTGATAAAAAAATATTGCTGAAATCTAGCGGTTCGGGTTGAAGTTATGCATTCGAGGTTTTGTTAATTTCGACGTCTGATCACGGGGTTCTAACCGGCGGTAATTGGTTTGATCCGTAACATTCATCATCGGCGTATCTAGTTTCGTTAATTTCTGATTGAAGATTGTCTGTAAATACAAAACGAGGAAATGAAACAAAAATGTGAAAATTTTCATCTGATTTTAGTAATAACTAATCTTGGTTTTCCAGACAATGAACATAGCCGAAATTCGGTGTAACAAAATGTTTGAAGAGTAGGGATATTGAATCCATTATTAAGAAAATTCGAAGGATAGCTAGTGGTAATTTTCTTTAAGATCTGAAGCCCGACTTGGTTATCAGCTTTAATTTTAGGAATTTTCTATTCTATGAATTTGTTTACATGTACTCTCAATGCTACCGATGAATGCATTATTATCTTTTATTTGTGTTCCATGGTTTAATATATCTGTAATAATAGGTAGTGCATTGTTTCTTCTGATTAGGTCTGGTCTTTGGTGAGGAGGTTTGATCAACCACAAGGGTACAAGCCATTTGTAAGCCGTTGTGTTGTGCAGGGGAATCTTGAAATTGGCAGTCTGAGGGAAGTTGATGTGAAGTCGGGTCTTCCTGCCACTACCAGCACAGAGAGGTTAGAACTTCTTGACGATGAAGAGCATATACTCAGTTTCAAGATCATTGGTGGAGACCACAGACTTAGAGTATGTTAACTGTTTCCTTTTTATTCTAATCTTCTGGTGGTTTTCTTTCTAATTTGTTTTTCTTTTATGAATATAATATATGGATTTGAATCTTCTATTATATACTAGTGAATTGATTTATTTGAGGGATTCAGAATGTGTGTTAATGAGATCATTCTCCTTCAGGTATTAGCACATATCTGTAAGTTTCTTTTAGTGAATAACTAGTTCTTGTGGATTTTAACAGTTCCATGAAGTTGCACTTTGATGTGTTTTAGTTGAATACGTATGTACGTATGCATATGCTCGTATCTGAATTTTCCGAGGGTTACAAGTGTAGTTCTTTATTCACAACCTAAGATGTGCTTTATATTAGCTTTTACGATTTTTTCTACTACTTCGTAGCAAAATTTTGTACTATCAAGCACAATTTTGTTGAGAACATTTCTAATCGCATCGTCTTTTTGTGTACCTTATGTTTTTTTTGAAGCTTGCCATTTATTCATCATGTAAGAGTCAGCACAAGTTGATATAAGCAGATGTTTTTAACTTTTGATTCTTCTGCTAGGATGTCGGAACCTAGCAAAGAAGCTTTAAGAGAATATAGAACCTCACATACAAGGAAATGTCGTGTTCGAATGAGAAGGTTTAGACAGTAGTTTAGATTAACTCATAATACTACAGACATTTATTGAAACATTAGTTAAATGGGCCAAGAGGGTGATTTGTGAGTTGTGGGTGGAACAACATGAGAAGTATAGTTATCCGGGAGTCAGCGATGAGGAAGAAAGTTTTGGTGAGAGAACGAAATAAAAGTAGAAGCAGAGATCTGTTGTTTGATTTTCACAATGATGAAATTACAGACATGTGAAGGAATTAAAATCTAGATTTTAATAAAAGTCAAAATCTAAAATTAATTTTAATCATATATTTCATGGAATCCATAACTTTTCAATTACACATTTCATTAACTTTTATCAAAATTTACTAAAAATCTGATTTTAATCCCCACCAAACGGGGGTAAGATTTTATAACCAGAACATCATGTCTTGAAAATGAGGGGAGGTTATGAAGAGAATGAAGATGAGAAATCAGCAGTTTAAACGTAATGCCTATCAGAGAGTAGAAATACATAGGAGCCGTAGTATTTTAAGCATTGAATGGCAATTTCTACATGATAAAACATAGCATAAATGAGGATGTTAAGATGGATGTATGACCATATAAATATGTAATATAAAAAACGATAATGCTAAACAAAAAATAGATGCAACACCAATTAAGAATAAATTGACAGGCAAAAATAAATAGTTACAGGTGTCATGAATAGGTCCAAAGAAACTCCCATTCACAAGAACAGCGAAATTTTAGTATAACTTTTTAGAACAAGGGGTAAATCAAAACTAACAATATTTGAGATGGTTGCAACTATTTGAGATGGTTGCAAAAGATCTGAGTTTGTTGGACCTTAAACTACGTGTAGTGCTGGATCAAATGGAGCAGCAGAAATGGAGTTTGGCGAACTTATTGTATGTCAACAGCGAAGTTCAAGTTCATTTGGGGTAGCGCTTAACTTCTTGTCATTGTTATTATTAATAGAAAGCTACCCTGGCTATGATATTACAGCAAGGCCAGAATCATGAATGGCAGTGAACAGAAACTGGAAAGTGTTTACATTGATTGATGCACTTAAAATCTTGACAGGTTTTACGGTGCCCAAAACCAGCTTTGCATCCCGTAGCATGCCTAAAACTGGTTGCCCATGACTAAACTATCCTTTAACACACGAAAAACAGTCACAGACACATGCAACCACAGATGTATAGACATTTTGGACATTATTAAGACGCGTGTCTTTATGAACACAATAACATTCCATTTCTATCTTTTAAACCTTTCTGTCAGAACTACTCTTCCACCATATCTGTTCATCCAGAAGTCATTGAAGGCAGACCTGGGACCACGGTGATTGAATCGTATGTAGTGGACGTGCCTGAAGGGAACACCAAGGATGAAACTTGCTACTTTGTTGATGCACTGATCAAGTGCAATCTCAAATCGCTTGCTGATGTTTCTGAAAGACGTGCTGTGCAGGACAGGACTGAGCCCATCGACCGCGTATAGAACTGCATGGCTCCTCTCGTGGAGGCTGAGGTCACCAAGGATGAAGCTTCTTTATAGGCTTTTAAAGCTACAAGGCTTTGGAGGTGGAGTAGCTGAGTACACCAATACTCTATATACCTTTGTCATTTGATCATATTTTCTTTTCTTGTTTTGATGTTCTGTCTCAGCATCGATGGCAGCTTGGAATTCTAGAGCCATTGCTTTTATGACGGTCTTTTGTTCTGTAAATGAATGGAAAGTGCAAAACGCAAGCTATACTCGATCTGTCTCAATTTCAGGGTTCTAGCATTGGTTAAATGTATGTGACCAGTATTTTTGTAAACTCTCGATAAATCTAGATCTGCTTACAGTTCTTATGCTCATAGTCTGAAGTTGGTGAACCGGGGACAAAGCCGGCCCTAAGACATTTGAGGCCCTATGCTACAATTATTATAAATATAATTTTCTATCAGTGTCTAGATGTCTTTATATTATTTTTGAAAAATTGAATGAGCCATTTTAAAATAAATAATTTATATTTTAATTATTTTTTAAAAAATTATAAGTTTACTAAAAAACTATAGGAGATTTTTTTTAAAAACAAATTAAGTTCATTAAAGATGCAAGTGTCCAAGTGTTTTGGGGCCTTTTATTTAGTCCATCATGTTATTTAATCATGTCTTTTAAATGGAATAAAGGACCCAACTCAAAAAAGAAATGAATTTTGTGGAAATTACAAAAAATCAGTTGTTTAAACTTCCTAATTCAAAATTCAGGTACAAGTTTTATCTAATAAAAAATTAGGTATGAATTAAATATTTAAATAATATTATAATACTAATATTTCAAACCCTAATTCATTTTCAATCCATATTTTCTCTCACTACTTTCTCTCACCCTCTCCTCTTCCTCCATAATCGACCGCCGCCGCCGCCTCCCTTCCTCGCTACTGCCTAGTAGCGAAATCGCTGCTGG